GGGGTGCGGGTGGGGGTACATATTGTCCCATGGGGAGCTCCCATCAGCCATGGACACCATGACCAGCGGCCCAAGGCGGCCACGGGGCCGGGCAGGGCGGGTAGGGGCAGCCGCACGGGGAGCAAGCCGCCAGCCGGGACCAGCCCAACCTAATTCGGTCCGTAAACCACAGCAGCGGCGAGGAGGCGAGGACGAGAGGAAGCGATCCTCTGGATCCCCCTCTGAAGCGTGGCCGGGGCTGCGCGAAGGATGTCGGCGGTGACGTCACGGGGAATAATTCGAAGACATAGCTGGAAATGTAGGTGGAGGTTGTCATAAAAGTAACATTCCGTCAGTTTGAACAGTTACACCAATAGACGGTTCCCGCTGTGCCCATTTCAAGAAGGAAATCGTCACCGGAAACAATTCTTAAATGACGGTAAAAACTAGTACAAATGAACCTTCATAGTTACAATGGACTGCCCCGAGGTCATTTATGTGAAACTGTACTGTTAAATAAGAAAAATAAGCGGACTTTTCATACTGGTTCCGGTCCTGATTTCCTTACTTCTTCTCGAAACACGCAGAGCGGGAACAGTATATTGCAGAAAACTATCTGAAGGGGAAATGTATACAATTGGCATTGCAGTTTTAGGGATCATCCAAAAAGAACGTCCGTCATTCGCCTTTACGAACCTGCAGTTCAGCTTGTGCGAGCTCTCTTAACGCCTGATGGGTAGGCAACATCTTGCATACGGTGCATGCGTGTACTGCGGGCTGGCCTACCCTGAGGTTCGCAGGCGCCGAGCTCCTGTAATTTACCGCGAATGAATCGGAGAAAACAGGACTATACTTTCTGGACCATCCCTTATTTTCTCGCGAAACGCAACATTCAAAACACAGCGTGTGATTCATTGATTGTTTGCATTACCAGAGTTTAAAAAAAAAAGGTTCTAAAAATATTTCTCTCTAGGAAATGAAGGTGCTCGAGGTGTTCTCGCCTTGCGGGGCAGCCGACCGGAGAGAGGGCGTGGCTGGCGAGGAGTAACGGTAAATACTGGATACTTGCCTCGGGAGTTACGCATTACGGTAGGTAGCGGTGCCAATGTTGGTACAGTGGTGGGGGGCGGGTGGACGGGGGCGATCGGTTTACTCGATAGGAAGCACAGGAGCGAGTGAGAAGCGGAAAGAGACAGAGAGAGAGAGAG